GGTGATATCTCAGTAGGAATCTGACAAGAGGAAAGTAGTATTTTACTGAGACATTACGGGATTACTGCTTTTTCGTCTGGTTATTAATACTCCTACTACTATTACTACTAAAAACGATAATAATAACAATGATAATGGTGATTATGATAATGATAATAATAATAATAATAATAATAATGCTCGTCAGGAATGGGTTAACGGAAATATCTTAGTCCACACATATAGTTATGTGTTTATGCAATGCATACATAACTCCCTCTAGGTATTTATCTATACGTATGAAAATATGTACACATACACACACACACACACATATATATATACATATGCATGTGTATGCATTTATGTGTATATATGTGTGTGTATGTATGTATGTTTGCGTACATATGCATATATGAGTGTATGTACATATACATATTTGTGCGTGTGCTTAACTATAACGATAACTACCCACACGCACACACACACACATATATATGTGTGTGTGTGTGTGGATGTACGGGTGTGCATATATTTTATTTTATTTTCTGTTTGTATACACCTCGCCTCTCGGATGTATAAATCAGGATGATAGACCATTCATGGTGACCACCTCAAGTGAATAAAAACAGCCAACATCATTCACGTTGTTCTGTTAATTCGTGTGTTTGATTATTTTTCAATTTATTTTTTGAGGAATGATTAAGAAAACGCAAATATGAAACTAGGCATTCGGCTTTTGAATCTTACAATCAGTTCTTCAAAATAATGGCAAGGAAAAATAGAAATTGGAAGGTCCTGGAATCTAAATATATTCAAATATTGATATCCATTCTAAGTGAAAACTCATTTTCAATGATACTTTGTTGTTGCCGTGTGCTTCACAAAAATCATAACATTTTTATTGACAATATCGATAATAATAATAACAGAAGTTGTAATACTAGTAGAGATGGCAGTAGTGGTAGTTGTAGTAAAATGATAATCACTATCTGAAACTGGTGGAGCAATCACTCAACATTTCCTTTCACAAAGTTGATAATCGAAGATAAACACAAGTCGCACTAATCCCAGTATCGGAATATCCAAGAGGCGGTGTAAACAGAGCGGGCGTCTCACCTGCACTTCCACCTGCCGTGAGTCCTTAGTTGACTAAAGGTCCAGAGGATGTTGCTACCCTTATATACAGGTGCTGCAACCTGTAAAACTCGGAATGTGGTGTTGCGCCAAAGTTTGTTCCAAAGATTTGATAAAAGCAATTTTTAAAATATGATACCTTGCCACGACGATATTCGTAAATAGCTAGGATATACGATAGAGCGATATATCTTTCTTATTTCATTTTATAAATTCGAATGAGAAGACTCCCAAAGACAAAAAAAAGAGTGATTGTAAATAGAATCTTCTATAAATACAAAGTGCGAAAAAAGATCTCAGGACAAACACGCATTCCGTTCGTCTCCTGATAATCATCAGTGACACGTAGTCCGGGCTGCGACGCCTCCCGGACCCGGGGTAACGCGAAGCCATTACAGTCCAACCAAAACCGATTCGAATCTCTGCCGAACCTTTTCCTTGACTTTCCATCAAACAAATACGTTCACCGAAGAATGTCATGGATAAATACAGTGCATTCAGCGTGTTTTAACAAAGATTTCCTTGTTGTTATAAATCTCTAGCGCAAATAAAGCAGCTTGCGAGATTGCCTCATGGTTAAAGCCTCATAATTATTGCGATAATTAACCTAAAGAGAGAAACGTGCAACTGTCTGTGCCAATTAGCTAATTCAGGGAAAAAATATATATACGTAAGAAAATGAGAGCATTAGAATTGAAAACAATAGGAAGGGCGAAGATTGTAATGATAATTACGATAATGATAAATTCTACTCAAGCTTTTGCAACTGTAGTGATAATCATTGTAGATAAAGTAATGGCGATGATATTAATGATAATACTATGACTATAAAGATATAATGATAATGATTACAATAATAATGACAATAATAATTAATACTATGATGATATTAACAGCGACATTACTATGACAATAATGGTAATGGTGGTAATGGTAACTAGGATAATCATGATCATTATAGTAATAATGATAAGAATAGTTAAAAAAGAAACATCGAATGATGACAATAATAACAACAACAAGGATAATAACAATAATTATAGTAATAATGCTAACAGTCAAAATGATGATAATAATAATGATTATAATGTTAAAGATGATAATGATTATGACAATGCATGTCAGCTATAATGATAACATTCATAAAAGTTATGATAACAGTAAGAACACTAATAAGAAACGATAACTATCTGTATCATCATGAGAGTGACAACATAACTCAAGCTGATGATGATTTGAAGTTGTCATAATGATTATATAAACTTAATAATGTTATTAATTACAGTAGAACTGATGATGGCAATGAATTTAATAATGATAAAAATGACAATACTAACAATGATGGTAATAACAATAATAATAAGAATGATGACAAAAAAAAAGT